TTATAGTAAATATTACTATGGTGTCGCACTAGCTGCGGACCATCGAGGAATTTTAAGTTAAATTACTATGTTTATGGTAAAAATTACGTTATTTTATCGTTTTTAAAACAATAATTATAGTATTTTAATTTGAAATTTCTCGATGGTCCGCAGCTAGTGCGACACCATAGTAATATTTACTATAAAATTTTCTCCGTGTAGTGAACACTGTGAACGCTATCGTACCAACTCGCGTTTTGAACAATTAACGCATGGAATATACATCAGTTGTTTCGATCAAAGTACCATTAAAAAATACATATATGTAGAAAAAAATCCGAGAACGCTGACAAGATATAAATAAAAAATAAGAAAATGTAAAATAATCAGTCCACAGTGTTTCACGGATTAATAGTAATAAATATAGTACCTATAAGAACACGATGTTCTTTCTTTTTCCACTCACCCCATTTGTCAACTGTGTGATGACAAATCGATATCAAGAATAATACGCAGTTGATAAACGACGGAGACAGAAGATAAATTCCGTCATATACGCGAAATAGATGGGCGCGATATAATTTCCATGCGGCCTAAGGTCATCCGTAAAACTAATCTCCAACTGCGTTTGCGATAGTTGAAACCTCATTACGCGCACGAGCGAGCAGCGTTAATACACGTGTATATCGAGTGCTTATTTGTATGTCGTACAGCGACACTCAAACGCAGAGAAGATAAAACAACATTGTTTAAGCATACTTGACTCGACCACTCGTACTGCGCGGAAAACTCTCGATTACTTCGCGCTCGGATACTCTTAATTGTAATATTTCGCTAGATTCGCTTCACAAATATGTGAATATATAATATATTTTTTAATCCGGATATAAATTGCCCAAAAAACACTTAATATGTTGTCGTAGAATTTTCATTATCCTAAGTATAAAATATAATATAATTAAATAAGAATTCTCATGTATAGTATTGAATTAGTTTGAAGGTAGTATTGAAGGTACTATTAAAGATAATATTGAATTGTGCAGAATAAAAGAAAATATATTTGTTTCATTCTAACTTATTGCACTGGTTCAGAAGTGCAGCGAAAACGAACAGGCCTAATGACTACGAGAGCGCCTCTAAAGTCAGGCATGGATGACAATCCATGTGTTTATACGTAATCGCACAGAGAATTAAGAAAATTATTATTATTATTATTATTATTATTATTATTATTATATTATAGATATAGAATATGTGATGTGTTACATCACATATTACATATCTATGATCATATGTTACATCATTCTACCTGAGAAGCCATCAGTATTGTGCACGCACGAAAATTCAAGTATATTTAGAACGACTTGCGAATAGGTGTATTTAGAACGAGTGTCATGTAAATAAACCAAATTCACCATTAAAAAAAAAAAAAGAAATTCTCGAGTTCGTGTAATATTTATTTCCAGTGTATATACAACTGTTATGTCAGGACCCAAAACTTCGAAGATAACGTACTATCTTGAATAACGTGTAAGAAATCTTAATCTTTAATTAAAACTACACCGTTATCTATATCCAAACGACAGAAAAAGTTTGTTTCGAAAAGTATTAAAAGTGTCAAACAAATTATAAGATCATTTTTTGAAATTACAAGAAAATTACAAGACCGCTTTTTAAATAAATCGAATTTTGTTTACAGATTCGATGCTCAAGTTTGCATTTTCGCGGCAATAAGATTCTCAACTGCCCACGATCGTGTTTTTCCTATTAAGAAACAGAAGAGTGGAAGTTTTCTAGTATCGATTGGTTAGAGTGTTGGACTACTTGGCGATAGCGCTCGACGAAACCAAAGTAAACTTTACTGGCGTTTGCGAGTTTCCGCTGGAAGTTTTCGTCGAAGCCTCGTTAACCGAGACGCTCGTACGCTTAGCCTTGTATTTTATCTCTTTCACACTTATTTGCATCGCCTCTGAGTTTTCTTTTTAACACATTCGTCTTGACCCACGTCCAGTTGGAAGTAAATAATGGCAGTGTGCTAATGAGACTTGATTTCAAACTATAGGTGTCAAACTTGACTCTAAATGCACATCTTGTGCATTTCCTTTGATCAATATACGAATGTAATCAAGCAGTTGC